CTACTTTATAAGGTAACATTTTATTGGAGTAGTCAACTATAGGTACCATTAAAATAACCAGCTTCTCCAGAATTACGAAATTATGTTTTAATAAGAAGATCGCTATGAACGTGTAGTATGATGCTAYATTTAAGTCATATATCAATTATTTATTTATATTTTACAAACGTATTGTAAGTAAAATAAGCATAAAAGCATACCAAAATAACTAAAATTCGACGTATAATAATTTATATTTAMAAACATAAAATTTAAGCGTTTAATTTATACCGTAGTTCTTAATTTAGCATGACAAATAGAAAAAAAAAACCAAATTTGTATCAATAAATGTAATATTGCTAGGCCTTACCGATATCGGTACAGAAATACAGAATGCATTAAAGTTTCGTAATTCTGATTTCCGAAAATTGCAAATTGAATCTTAAGTGAGATTAGCGGTGTTTGAGCCGTTTAGATTGTACTAAAGTGGTGGAAGACAGCATGAGCGATGCATTGCAGGATATTATAATGAATATTATGCGTTCTACGAAATTTCATTCCATACGTTCGAGGTACGCCGATGAATTCGATGCCAAAACAAAAACGGCATGTGAGGTTAGGCTTCAAATAACTACATCTTGTCATCGCTGGGTCTTAGTTTTTCGTAAACAATTTCGTGTACAGCACGAAGACAARCACTGAATATGTACATGTCTTAGTACCGATGCTCTAAGACCGTAGAACGTGACCTGAACGCCAAATTGTAAACTAACGCTTACGCGGTGCCGCTGACGGTCTAAATCGGTATCGTGTTCTACGAAACAAATAATTAAAAGTAAAATAATATTCCAATATATCAACTTAACACACTTATAGAAATATTTATCTGAAAGAATATAATATTAATATAATATATAATGTATAATTTATGTAATTATAATTATTATCTTGGAATCAATCTAACAGTCGCAGACTGTGGCATGTCACATCACGTATAACATCAAACTATTTCTACAATGATTTAATATTTATGTATTAAAAAACTGTAATTAAGATTTTTATCACAAATAAGTGTTTTTATACCAACATTAATGCATAAAAATTATTGAGAACGATGAATTAACATGCTGTTCACTAACGGTCAAAAGAATGTAAATGTAAAATATAGAAAACAAACGATTCAAAAACCGTGCAGTGTTTCAACTAAATATAATAATATGCTTTGGTTCAATTAATTTAAAAGTCAAGGCCGTTCCATATCAAAATATTAATACTATAGCTGTACGATATAATATAATTAAACATATTAAATAACGTGTATACATATAATATGTATATTATATACAAACAAGTATAAGGTAACCTTTCAATTTTCATGCACAAAAAATATTATGTTATTTATATTTTTGTTCGATGGGTTTATATATTAACAACCTTCAATACTTGAACATATATTTTTTTAAATCACTTTTTTTTTAACCCGTTTACGTGATTTGATAAATCWACCAATTAACTAATTCAAATTCAACAATAAATTTCTATACATTTTTATTTTGTACGAGACAACTTATATACTTATTTTAAATAATTATAAGCAATCAAAAAGTATATTGTTCATAATAAARTGTTAAAGAAACATAGTATTAAATATTGTCTAGAGTTGGGTAAGAAATAACGATCCAAATGTATCAAACTATTCTAGCCTTTAGTGTGTCAGTATAATATCTGTTGTTTTGTTTTTTGTAGTTCTGTTGCTAATGAATTGCCATTCTTTTGTTCAAAAGTTTTTCGTTCTTCGTAACACATCTGTACGACCAGTCATCCCAATAAAAAAAAATATTTGTTTGTTTGTAATTTTTTCCAATCGTTTTTCTGAATGAACAGACGGCTGTAAAAAATAATTTATTACGTTCGTATAATATCGATTCACTATTATGGATTATCCACTTAGTTAGTGATAAATGAATAGGTAGGTATACTGATTAGTGTTTACCGTTCAGCCGTCTGTCGAACACACGATGTATTATACATTTTTTTTCAAACCACCGTCAGTGTGTGGTTATATATTATATTCTTCGACCCTCAGTACTTGGAATATTTTACGTGAAACTTAGCTCACGGCCCCGCATCGATAATGTTAAAGCACCGTACACATAAACTACTACACCAAGCGACCGTAAATACTTCCTATTATATAACTTTACAGTAGGTCGCGACGCAGAATAATTTTGTTTCTGGACAAGTTTTTGACTTGTTTTCGTCCCCAAATGTGGCTTGAGATCATTAAAAGTAACTACAAAAAATAGTAAATTATAAATTATATATGAAAAAATAAATTGAAATACATAAAAAGATAATATATTTGTAATTTAATTTTGATAGTACAACTTATGGTTTTTGTATAATTTAATTTTATTGATGTGTTTTGGTATTACTGATCWCTTAATTGTTTTTCAAATTTAACGACAACAATTTTATCTTTAAATTAATTAACATTTAWGTTGAGTACTCGAAGAATAATATTTTTATAAGTATTGCAATTTTTGTTTCAGTAAATGTAAATTCTATAATATAATGGCAACCAATGATAAAAAAAAAATTTGCAACTTTCTAATGTTTATTCCATATTAGTAATATTTTTTTTTTCAAAAAAGTGGTTTAGTTTAAGATTCATATTGTTGGATACTCTCAATATCTAGTCAAATATATTATAATATAGATTGTAGATAATCCTTAATTTATCAGTTTTAATAATATCTCTATTTAAATCAAWATTAAATGASWTACGTTAAAATGTAGTCTATGTTTTTGATAGATACAATTTTATGATTTTTAGTCATACTAAAAAATTGCTTTAATATGTTACTGTCAGTCGTTAACTTAATACATATATGCAAATTTTTAAGATATAGGTAATAAAAAAAACTTGAAAATCCATCTAWCTAAACTACGATCCATGTTATATTTACAATACATATTGTGATAATAAATAACAAAGCAGTCACTTTAGCGTTAAGTAGATTTCGATGTACAATGTACATCGTCATTGAGTAGATCACTGGAATGGAAGTGTTATGAAAAACGATTGTGAGCGRTGACGGTGTCATTATTATTTCTTAGGATATTATATATATATTTATTCAAAGGACTATTCGTAATTTATTTTATATTATTAGTAGCTTTAGAAAGGTAKGTAGAACTAATTGTTTTCAAACATATGACAAATAATATACAATTATAACGTAATAATAGTATTTGATGTTGTATTATTAAATATTATTGTTAATAGCTTCCAACTATTATTATATTTAGTATAAGTATAACAGTGTAAATAGGTTCGTAGAATCATAATATAAAATAAATAGATTACAATTTATCTAAATATAATGAAAATTGAATTGGACATAGAAAATAATAATTTACACAATGGCGGAAAGTTGCATATACACTTAGATCATATACAATATATATATATATGATCTAAGCATAAAAATATAATTTATGAATACAAGATCATAATTTCTATAAATAATATAAATACATATTTTAAATTCAGTCATTGGATATAAAAAAAAGAAACTTTTATTTATTACACAGGTGGAAAACGGTTAAAAATATGTGTAAATTTAAATTACTGTTTATAAAATGAAATTACAAGTTATTATGAATTAATAAATCTAATATTATAAACAAATTATGTAAATGTATTTAACTTATATCATTCACRAATTGATTTTTATATACAGCAGCTTATATTATGTATTTTTAGTTTTTTCTTGTGTAAACATGGTATTTTTTATAGGATTTGTATAATATTCTCATTTCATATTTTAAATC